GGATAGCCCACAGACATACCATAAACATTTCTAGGACCCATAATTGGTCTCCTTTAATCGTTCTTTTCCCAGGATGGATTGTACAACATGTAAATTTTATGTTGTTTTAAACAAAGATCTAGCTGCACAGTTTGAATATATGAATCAGTCTTATTGGTTTGACCAGGGCTGCTGTAGCTTTGTGGTCTTTGTGACACTGTGGGATCAGGTCAAGGTTGCGTGGTGTAAACTATTAGCCAGACCTGTGGGAGTTACATTGTGTACAAGAACAGAGGTAGGGTTTTTGTTTGTTTGGGGCTGATCCTGGTGAGCAGAGGGAGCAGTTTTATCCACAGATATTTCTTACACCTAGATACAGCAACTCACTAATTGATGTTAGTACCTCAGTTAATGTTTTAGGTTATACAGTTCACAAGACGGACAGATGGAGTGATTCCAGTTCCCCACTTCACTTTGTAACGATGGACAGAAACAACAGAGAGGTCCAAGAAACTTAACGATCTACAAAGAAGTCTTTTCTGAATAATTTAACATACAACTTATTTGAATGTTTCACTATTTGCCATGGTCTAGAAAAAAATGCCACCCTTTTATGGAAAAAAAATATTTAAAGGGATCCCCGATTAGTTGTAACTTTAGACTATTTGATAAACATACAGTATACTGTTTCAGATCATGTAACTGCCAGGCCCCTGGGACAAAAGAAAGAAAAATAACAGTGATAAATTACAATGATGAGTGATTAATCCTAGCAGATCGTGTCCTGGTCATAAAACATTACTATCAAACGCTGATGTCATGGAGTCAGCTAAATGTCTTATAACCTGACCTAAATAAGAACAGATCTTTATTTATCCATTACAGCTCTCACATAAATAAAAATATTCCTGATGTTGAGAACAATCCAGCAACCACCAAGTCTCATGTCAGCCATGAACTGTGAACTGCTGGAACTTCATGAAGCCAGTTGTACATCACCAGGAAGGTTGYTGACCAAGAAAGAAGCTCCTGACCCCAAAGTGACACCTTCAGACTTAATGTCCTCTGAACAAAGGTTTTATTGTCTGATGAGACAGAAACTGGGCCACAGTCAACCAGTTGTGTGTTACTTTTTCCTAACTGCACATCAATCCACACAATGATAGATGCTTCACAGGTAAARTCAGGTTCCTAAGAGCAGAACAACCAATATATCCAGACTTCCTTCTTTGAGTGAACTTCAATGGTGGAAATAGTTAAAATAGCTGAAAAAGCTGCTTGATGYTAACRTTGTTTCYTGTCTCCTCAGGCAGCGCTGAGGCAGAAGGAGCTGGAGAAAAGTCTCCGGCAGGCCCAGGAGAACGACAAGCTGCTCAGAGACATCCAGGAGTCCTTGGCCAACACGGACCGTCACCTCACCTCGTACCTCTCTGACCACATCGATGCCCAGCAGATACCTCAGGAAGCTCAGGTGGCCAAACATCAACTGTTTGTTGGTGGTGGAACTGGTCTGTGTGCTCACCTTTGTTTCCTTGAAATGTTCCCTTAACACCAGTRGTGGGCATGGTTCTGCTGACCTGCTGACAGCTAATAGTGAAGCTAACTTTTTGTTTAGCAGATTAGCATTTGACTAACGCTAAAAACTGTTAGCGGAGCAATTAACTTCCATTAAGTTTAGGTCTTCGTTTTTTAGATCTGCTAACAATTTCCTGTCTGCTGTGGTAGTTTATACTTAACAAAGAACTAAACAAGATAGCAGAGCTAACTCTTCATTTAGCAGACTAGATTTTTGCTAATGTTTGGAAACCATTGTAGGGGTATTAAACGCCAGAATTCTAAAATGGATAATTTGTGAATTATTTAAATACGCAAATTATCTTTTTCCTCGGGGCACCACTAAAGTTTTTTTTATAGTAAAACTTCAGAAAAACTTTTCTATTAATATTCAATCTCTAAATATGAAGGCGTTTAATTCTTTCAGTTTAATG